TGTAACAGCTTGGTCAACAGTTCAAACTGAGTTTTGCAGGTACAAGTGGTTGATCAGACCACTCATCCACCGAAATGCCATAGCTTCGTTGGACTGGATAGGCAAATCGGCTCCAGTCCCCCTGCAAATGTGAAAAGATTCCCTGCAAATGTGAAAAGGTTCGAATCAAAGAAGTTTTACATCTGTTCAGATGTTACACACACACACAGATGCCTGTACACAGAGCAGCTTTGACACACAGACGCTTTTACACAGAGAAGCCGTTACACTTACACAGAGCAACTTTTACACAGCGCGGCTTTTACACAGAGGCGCCTTTGCGCAAAGAAGCTTTTCTACACAAACGCTTTTACACATAGAGGCCTTTACACACAGAAGCTTTTACGCACAGAGGTTTTCACACGGAAGCTTTACACAGAGAAGCTTTTACACAGAGAAGCGTCTAAACAGAGCATCTTTAATACACAGAAGCATTTATACACACACACAAGCTTTACACACACGCCTTTGCACACAGAGCTGTTACACATAGACGCTTTTACGCATAGAAGCTTGTTCACAGAGCAGGGTTACACAGAGCACAGAGAGAGGCCTTTGCACAGAGCAGCTTTCACAATCTTATACGTGCAGAAACTTTAAACACGTCCTCGTAAAATCGCAATTTTACACAAGTTTTATTTCGCGTGAAACGGTTGTGCCTGACGTTTCAAATTGGATAAAGTCACAATTTTACACCAATTCTTGGACGTTGGCATCTGACGTTAAAAAATCGCAGTTTTCCCACAGTTATTGCCATTTGACTTTCATGCCACGCTTGCATCTGAACTTTCAAAATCACAATTTTACACCAGTTTTTGATGGTTGACTCTCGTTTCGTGCGAAGGGGCTGCACCGGGCCTCACCAAATTTGCATTTTGCCACATGTTTGGATGTCCGACCTGCACGATCTCTGAAGAGGGTTGCCCGTGCCCAAAAGAAATTCACATTCCGCCACATGTTTGGGCGTTCGAAACGCACGATCCCGCAGATGGCTGCTGCGGGCAAAGAAGTTTCGCATTTCACCACACCACATGTTTGCCCATCCGACACGTGCCATCTCCGCAGAGGGTTGCCTAAGGACAAACAAGACCCGCATTTCGCCACACGTTTGGGTGTCCGACACGCCGCAGAGGGTAACGATTCGTAAGCCACCGCCTGGCTGTCCCTGCCACCAGAGAGAAATAGAAGAACTGGAGAAGTCTGATTTTGCAGGAGTTCAGATACAATTTGATCATCTGGAAGTTAGCTGAACCCCTGTGTAGCAACTCCTGTGTAACAATTTCTGTGCAAAATGATCTTGCCGGCAGGAGTCTTGTAGGAGTTCAAGTAGAAGTGGATCACCTGCAAGTCAACTCCCGTGTAAATGACATTGTTCAAGTTTTGTAGGAGTTCCCTAGAAGTTGATCACCTGTAGCTGATGTAGGTGATGTTGTCTCTGTTGTAGATGATGAGGATGATGTTGTAAGTGATGTAAGGTTAGATAGATTTGAAGATGTCGGTGATGTAGAGGATGCAGTGATATAGATGATGATGTAGGTCATGTATGCGTCGTAGGTGATGTATATCATTATATCATGTAGATGAGGCTGATGGAAAAAGATTGTGTAGGTGATGTAGATGGTGTAGGTGAGATAGATGACGGTGATGATGATGATGGTGGTGGTGGTGATGGTGATGATAATCATGATGATGTAGGGAAGATGGTGCAGAAGATGTAGGTGATGTGGGTGATGTAGAGGATGTAGTGATGTAGATGATGATGTAGGTAATGTATGTATTGTAGATAAAGCATGTCATATAGATGAGGTTGATGGCAAATGTGTAGGTGGTGTAGATAATGTAGGTGAGACAGATGTAGGTGATGATGATGATGATGATGGTGAGAATGATGATGATGGTGTAGATGTAGATGTAGATCTAGAGAAGATGGTGTAGAAGATGGTATAGAAGATGTAGGTGATGTAAAGGACATAAGAGATGTGGATGATGTATGTTAGGTAGATGAAGTGAAGAGTGAGGCGGACAGCAATTCTTTGGGAAAATGCCTTCGCACGAGCTTCGGGAATTTTGGCCACAGTATTGCGAACACTTTTGGAAAAGCGGTTTTTCATAAAGTGTTTGTGCTGTGATTGCGCCTTGTACGCCCGACCTCTAAGAAGGGCGGGGCAATAAACATACTTCACTCATTGCGTGTTTGGCAACTGTTTTTGTTTCTGGCTGTTGGGGATACTCTTTGGGCTTATAGGTATGGTCTGGCTTTGAATGCAAGCCATGTGTCACTCCCAATGTAACCCCCCCACCCCCCCAAAAGCCTCCAAATGATACCCCACAAATGGGCAAATTGGATATAGTAGAATATATTGCAATATCGACCTGTCTGAAAATTTGGTATCATTAATTAACTCATCAAGATCCAATCATCGTTTTCCCTGTTAAATTGCCATTTGGGACATACAGTACGCCATGTTCAGTTTCACCCATAAATCTCATTCTGTAGACCTCATCAAGTCCCCATCAAAAATCATTTGCCAACCTCCCCAGCTAAAAAAAGGTAAAGAGATATCAAAAGTGGCAAGGTCCTTCCAAATCTTCCAAGCTCTGGTTATTCCTTCCTTCACCACATTTCTTGAATCTGGGCTCGCACCAAGGCGTTGATGCCGCTGACGTTGGGACGGCTCCAGGTCACCAGGGACCCCGAGTGCAGCAGCGCGACGAAGCTGCGCTTCGTCGCAGCTAAACGCTGCACGCCTCGCAGCTGCGGCTGCACCGGCGAGCTGTCACCAGCCTTGGTGGATAGACGCGACAAATTTGTATAGGCTCAATGTAAAGCATGGTCAAGCCATGGTGAAACCATCTATATAATGTCAAGTCTTTTCAAGTACAGTATATTGTTTAAATATGTTTAAATATGATTACATTGATTAAATTTGAAGAGGGACAAAGAAAGTGTACGGCTACATATGGCTACCCAGCAGCATATTCTGCATCGCCCCATGTCACAACAGATCCATCTGCCAGGATCGCTGCAAAGGCACCGTCTGTGGCATGAATCTGCTGCACACCCTTTAGCTGACCTTGGACTGCAGAGCTGTCCCCACCGGCTTTTGAGTCCCCCCAGGTGACAACCGATCCATCAGCAAGGAGCGCAGCAAAGGCGCGCTCTGTAGATTGAAGCTGCTGCACATTCCTCAGCTGATCCTGGACTTTGGAGCTGTCGCCACCCCGCTGTGGATTGCCCCAGGTAACAACAGAGCCATCTGCAAGGATTGCTGCAAATGCCGTCTGCGTCATCTGAATCTCTTGCACACCTCTGAGTTGACCTTGAACTTTGGAGCTGTCACCACCAAAACTTGGGTGGCCCCAAGTAACGATGGATTCATCTTTCAAAATTGCGGCAAATGCAAAGTGTGCCCCCTGAACGCGCTCCACATTCCTGAGCTGACGTTGGACTGCAGAGCTGTCACAAGTACCACCCCAAGATCCATCGCCCCATACAACCGCTGATCCATCTGCCAGAATCGCACAAAATGCACGATACGTGGCCTGAATTTCTTGCACATTCCTCAGCTGTCCCTGGACGCCAGAGCTGTCACCACCGGCCCCTGGCTCACCCCATGTAACAACAGAACCGTCTGCCCGGATCGCAGCAAATGCACGGTATGTGGCTTGAACCTGCCGCACGTTCCTGAGCTGCTCCTGGACTGCAGAACTGTCACCACCGTCAATTGGATTTCCCCAGGTGACCACAGACCCATCTGCTAAGATCGCAGCGAAGGCGCGAGATGCACCTTGAACCTGCTGCACATTGCGGAGCAAATGTTGGACCTCAGAACTGTCACCACCCTCAGTTCGGTCACCCCATGTGACCACTGACCCATCTCCCAGGATTGCAGCGAATGCGCGGTTGATGCCTTGAACCTGCTGGATATTCTGAAGCCGACCTCGGACTGAAGAGCTGTCCCCGCCGGCTCCCCGATTTCCCCAGGTGATGATTCGGTCACCCCCACTGTGCCAAAAAGCCAAGGCTTCATCTGTTGCCGCTACCTTTGGTTGCAGTACAATTGCCGTAAGGTGGTCCCCATCGCAAATCCCAGCGGTTTGGATCGCTTCAGAAGGATTGGCAAGAACGTGGCCCTGCGCAGTGACAAGCCGCAGAAAGCCTTGGCCAAAAGATTCCTGTGCCAGAATCCTCAAATCCCCTACTTTGGAGGAGTCCGGAAGTGACAGAATTGTGCTGCGACCGCTCGCGAGGCCCACATTGATTTGAAACATTGATGAAATTGAAACATCAAAAGTTGATTGCCAGTACAAAACAACATATTTATCCATTGACACCTTTTAAAGCACAACTGGCTGGTGGTTGAGCAACCCGTCACTAAAATTGCCTTATCCACTTGGGTAAATACTCATCCAAATACGCATATGTATATATATATATATATAATATAGTGTTTGATAACCAGCATTGCCAACGAAAACCAGACAAGGTGCCGAGCATGTTCAAAACACAACCTGCATCTCAAGAAACCAGGTCCTGGTGATGAGCCAAAACTTTCTTGATTGCCGGAGGTTAGGAGGAAGCAAAGGTCAGGGGCAAGCGGGCTGGGTCCATGAGATCCCCAAGGTTCGCTTGTTGATTGTGTCATGCATATCATGCTACTGTATGTCCAATATTACCTATTGTGATCCATGATAGGCATGGAAAAGGTACAGAACTGTATGCAGAGACACACACACACACATATATATATATATACAATCATGATCGCCTACATAGAATATGCCCGATTTCAACCCTACGGGTGTGGACGGAAAAAAACAACTTAGAATATTTGGGGTAGAAATATTTGGGGTAGAATTTTGGAGTGCATAAACAGTGCCAAAGCAAATACCATAGGAATAACGATATTCTCATATCGAAAACATGTGTGAAACAAAAACATGTCAGTCATACATTCCGCCTTCTGCTTCTCAGGAGGGAGACCTGCCGTCGCCTTCAAGTTGAAATCACCCAGGGCCTCGGAGAAAAAAATCCGACCGCGACCCCGCTCTGCTTTTTCGGGCGTCAGGGAGGTGGTTTTCCGGTTGTGTTTTTTCCATTGAATATGTATATTTTTTTTTTTTTAATCTATCTATCTATCTATCTATCCATCTATCCATCTATCCATCTATCCATCTATCCATCTATCCATCTATCCATCTATCTATCTATCCATCTATCCATCTATCCATCTATCCATCTATCTATCTATCTATCCATCTATCCATCTATCCATCTATCCATCTATCCATCTATCCATCTATCCATCTATCCATCTATCCATCTATCCATCTATCCATCTATCCATCTATCCATCTATCCATCTATCCATCTATCCATCTATCTATCCATCTATCCATCTATCCATCTATCCATCTATCCATCTATCCATCTATCCATCTATCCATCTATCCATCTATCCATCTATCCATCTATCCATCTATCCATCTATCCATCTATCCATCTATCCATCTATCCATCTATCCATCTATCCATCTATCCATCCATCTCCATCTATCCATCTATCCATCTATCCATCTATCCATCTATCCATCTATCCATCTATCCATCTATCCATCTATCCATCTATCCATCTATCCATCTATCCATCTATCTATCCATCTATCCATCTATCCATATCTATCCATATCCATCTATCCATCTATCCATCTATCCATCTATCCATCTATCCATCTATCCATCTATCCATCTATCCATCTATCCATCTATCCATCTATCCATCTATCCATCTATCTATCTATCTATCTATCTGGTTGGTGGTTTTAACCATCTTGAAAAATATATGGTATAATCCTTCCCATTGACTAATATTTTTCAAGATGGCTAAAACCACCAAGCATATATATATATTTAGACAACATGTAATCCTTTGTTGTCCCTCCAGTGTTTTGCAGAGTTTGAATAGAAGCATATCGTGTTTTCCAGAGCAAATCTATTGGTTTCAAGATGTGTTTTCCTTTAAAAAATCGCGATAAACATATGAAAGTCACATTGGGATCAACAAGATTGGCAATCGCCATGTTGATGTACTGCTTCCTCCTGTTTAACAAAAATTGGAGTTCAAATCCTATCGCCCATCTTTAGTCGTGGTTCTCTTGCTCCTAAACATCATGACTAAATGTATCTCTGAGAAGTTCGGCAACGTCCTATTTGCAAACATGGGGGGGGTTACGTCTGTCCGCGCTGGGCTGCTACGGCTTTTATTGCCTCATTCAAGAGGAACATCAAAAAACATCTAAACATCTCTAGTACAATAGTGTCAAATGTTAGCCTGTACTTTAAGTTGGATAGTTCGACAACCATCCCAGCTTAGACCTTGCAAAAAAACTTATCCTTTTCGAACGGGTTGTATGTGGCCTAGCCATGCCGTTGGCAAGAAAGTGCCACACTGGGCAGCCGTGACTCGTGAAAGATTCAGATTTCCATCCACTCGGTGGCAAGGACCAATTTTGATCACCTGCCAGGTTTGGCGACACTTCCGAGGTTTCTTACAACAAAATTGGGGACGGAACAACACCTGGCTTCACAAGCAAGACCCCCAAATCAATGCAAGTGGACAAGCGGGCACGCTTTGAACAATGGCCTCTGATGCGATGATTGGGGACTCCCTCTGCAATAAATGAAATGGTTCCCTATCTTCAGGCAGGATCCTCCCTCCCATGAGCATGATGCTTCAACTATTCTTGGCTCCTATCGCTTTGTCAATACGTCCGTGTCAAGATAGATATGTAGATAGATAATGATAGAGATTTACGTACCATATCAAACGTATATTTACATATTCTCTGCTAGTATGTAAAACCACTCGTCCTATCTCCATAGAAGGCACTTAGATCCATAGGGTATACACGCGTAGACATCCTGGAGTAGATAAAATATGTATGGTTCAAACCCATTCTCATTTTAGTGATGATTTTAGAACATTCCAGATTCCATGTTATATCTACTCCAGGATATTTCTATACATTGACATACATATACATATAACATATACCTATAGATATACATATAACATATCTAGTTACAATATATAAATATATATGTATATTATGTAATACATATATATATTACATATATATATATATATATGATATATAAATATAATATATATATATATAGATAGATAGATAGATTATATCCCAACATCAACCCCCCAGCATTTCATCCAAAAAATCTCAACAAAAATCTCTGAAAAGCGTGGCGCCGTGGCGCCGTGGCCTGCCCACCAGCTCCACGAATCCGAGTTCTCTCTATGGGGTTCTCGGGTTTGTGGTCCTCCGACAAGGCGATCGCCTACCAGCCGCGCCATGGCGCTCATGAAGATCGCTGGAGAAATTTGTTCAAGAAAACCCATGGGGAAACTTGAGATAATGGTTCTAAGGATGGTTCTAAGGATTATCTAATAATATGTTTGATACATTTTGATACTGATTGATCAAGAAAAACTTCGAAAACCCATGGGGAAACTTCACTGGTGATATATGGCTCATTCACCATTGATATATGGGGTTTATCATGATTCAATGGGATTTTATATCAGGGGATTTTTGACTCAACAATCTGAGATTTGGGTGTGTCTTAAAATGGGATATACCCCCAAAAATTGCAATGGGAAATATGATGAGAAACCGATGGAATTGGGGCACTCCATTTTCAGACAAACCCAGTGAATCTGATTGGATATAACAGTACAACATCTGGTTGGTAGTTTCAACCCCTCTGAAAAATATGAGTTCGTCAGTTGGGATTATTATTCCCAATATATGGAAAAATAAAATTCATGTTCCAAACCACCAACCAGACATGATATAACTAGTCTGTTCTAGGTTCTGCACAATAAGATCAAAGGCATGCTACCATCTGGTTATTTAACATAGCCATGGAAAATCACAATTTTTAATAGGTAATCCATCTGTAAATGGGCCATTTTCCATGGCTATATTAAATAACCAGAGGGTAAATCCTCAATCACTGGCTGTGTTTGCTGCTTTAACTCTCCATGTTTTTTTGCTCAGCTTGGTGAAACACCGCCATTTTCCTCGATTGATGCACTGATACACGAAAGCCAACAGCGGACCCCAAAAACGATACAATTCCACGAGGAACATCATCTTTGGCTGCATCGTTCAGACATGTTGAGAGTTGAGAGTCTATTTTATTGAATTTTGGGGTTCCATGTAAGTTTTCCGAGACGAATTATTGTATATCATGTGGCTTTGCCTGAAAATGTCCAATGGATTATCATCATATGTTCGGTTTAATTGGCAATCTTGGGGTCTACCCAAATCCATCATATCTGAAGCTCTGACTCTCTCTCTCTCTCTATGTATGTGTATATATAATATATTACTATATGATATTATATGTATCGATTACATCTGCCTTGGCATCCCCATGTGTGTTGATTAAACCCCCATTCTTGGACAAGCCCAAATACTTATTGGTGTTATATACCATTATATCCTCAGTATATTCATGCTTTGTTTCTTAAACCGGTCTTGACACACCCAAAATTAGTTATCATTGTCAATTGATGAATTCCCTAGTGTTTCATTATCAATTGCTTACCGGTGCTTAGTATAGGGAATGGATGGGAATGGGGGAATGGGGGAATGGGGGAATGGGGGAATGGGATGATTATTACTAGTGATTATGGACCATTCCTTCATTCCCTGCTAAGCACCAGTAAGATTGTTGACTCCCTGCTTTTGATGGCTCAATAATGTCAAATCCCCATTTTGCCTCGTTAAATCCTCCATTTTTGATCATGTTTCGCGCCTTCCCGTCTCTGATCAACAAAGCCCGAGAGTCACCCACGTTGGCCACTACCACCTGTGCTGGCTACGGCGGTAACCATGGCACCCAAACTTCTGGTTGATACAGAAAAAGTACCCTCTGGTAATTTAACATAACTATGGAAAATCACCATTTTTAATGGGAAAATCCACTATAAATGGACATTTTCAATAGCTATGTGAGTTTTCCAGAGGGTAACCCAAATAAAGATTGAAAAGGTTCAACTTACCAGCATTCTGGTAGGATTCTACTTGTCTATCTTGTTGGGAGTTACCATATGCTGTTTATATTGGTGGTGGTTCATACCAAAATATGTTTTTCTTTAGAATGACTATTGTGGTGTGCTAATATATGTCCAACTTATGCTGGTTATAAGAATGGCTGCACCTGGGAAAAAAACAAACTACACGCCCAGATATGCTGTCTCACCATAAATTCACTGGGTCGGTTTATGGGAGAATATAAGCACACCATAACCCTTGCCATAAACCTCTGGGGTTTCCATAGTTTTTTTTCATGATCTTCCTTGTACATATCCTTGGAGGATCATGCATTAAACTATATAATCGGATCTCTGACCATGGTTGATATCGTGGCTACGTCCATGCAATGAGATGGATTAAAGAGAAAGCGGACGCATATTTAATACAAATCAACATATTATTTCATGATATGTTATGCCTTCCAATTGTTGAGCAAAACCAGGCGTAACCATGACAAACCCTCCACTCATTCTGCAAGCTGGAATTTGGTTGACCTGGTGACGTTTTTTTTTGCGAATGTAAAAATATTCAGGGTGGTTGAGCATGAAAGGCAGGACGCTCCTGATGTGTTTTTGAGATGCATATTCTGCATATTTGTAATGGTAGTGCAAACGACTTTGTTGCTCACCATTCTGTACGCAAACCAGGCGGACAATTGAGGCGGTTCTCATTTCAACCAGAAAAACAGAAGGATAAACACCTCATCAAAATGATTTTGCGCCATATTTTTCGCCAAAACAAGAAAAACAACTTTGGCGGGTCTCATGTTGTACCCTCCAGTAAACTAACATAACCATGGAAAATCACTGTTTTTTAATGGGAAAATCCACTATTTCTATGGCCATGTTCAATAGCTATGTTAGTTTACCAGAGGGTAACATTGGCGGCCTTTGTGATGAAAAATCCTCTCCCAAGGACCTCACAGATCATCTCCAACAAAGTTGATTAAACACTCATTTTACTGGTCGTCATCTTCCTTAAAAAACACGGACTACCTAGAAAAATCCCAACTACTGTAAAATCTTAGTTTTTAACAACTTAAGACATCCGAAAAACCTGTTTACTGAGATTTACTGAGATTTACTGAGACAATAGATGCAAACAGCAGTTCTCGAAACTCAGAATAATCACAGCTTAAGTTAATTACCCTAAACATGTAACATATTGTGCTCCCACAATTGGCGGATATTGGCGGTGAGTATAACTCTCCTGTTTGCATATACCGTAACAATACCAGTGAATGAATATAAAGGCTAGGTTCATCACCGCCTTCTAGTGACAAATCAACCATCATTTATTCTCCCCAGCATTTTCGAACCTTCAAACTCTAATTTACATCCTAAAATGCTAGTAATTCCTAGTAATTCACCCATCTTCCAGCCATTTCCCCAGCCATTTCCCCAGCATTTTCCCCAGCCAACCAACAAAAAACTATGGAAAATGATCCATTTATAGATGATTTACCCTCTGGTTATTGAATGTTCGCCATGGAAAAGCACCATTTTTAATAGCTAAACCATCTATTTCTATGGGCCATTTCCCCATCCCAACGCCGTCACCGTTACCGAAAAGTTCCCACCTCCCGGCGCAGCAGGTCCAGCGCGGCCACCACACAGGTGGAGCCGCAGGTTGCGAAGGGATGAAGGAGACCGGGGAAGAGCCAACCCAGGCCTCGTGTCCCGATACCCTCTGGCAATGACTAACACTTTGCATTGAAAATGCTAGAAATATGTAGAAATAGTTGATTTACCGAACTTAAAGATTGTGCCAGTTCGCTATGTGGCAGATTACCAGAGGGTATCCTTGGAATTTCATGATCTGAAAAACTGTGTATAGATACATATATATATACATTGTAGTATATATATATTTATATTATAGTATATATATATATACATATGTGTGTGTATGAACTTTATATACAAATATATAATAGTCCTTCATTGGTAAAGTCACTGGGGATAAGTGAAAATCAGGAACTAACAATTAATCATCATTAGGAACCAGCAATTATATCGATAATATTGGTGTATGATGGTATGCCACTAGCAACTATTTGCAACTAACAATTTGTAAGTAACTAACATTGGCAAAGTTACTGGGATTAGGTGAGGTGCATATGATGCATCGCATCAACATGTACCAACTAGAAAACATAATTCATGTCTACATTTACATCATTTACATCATGCGTATCAACATGCTTCAAAATGAACTGCCACCAAAGCACCCCAGGAGCCACGTCGGAGTCGCTCATCCAAGCGAGGAAGTGACTGGCGAAGCACCTGATGGATGGTTTGGGATCATCGGGTGTAGCCATCACAAGCATCACAAGCATCACAATCACCAGCTCCACCGTCTTCATTACCATCATTCTTACAATACTCATCATCATCACCACCATCATCATCATCATCACCACTACACCACCATCAGCATCAGCATCAGCATCAGCATCATCATCATCATCATCATCATCGCCGTCATTACTATCATTCCCCGATAGGGACTGAAGCAAAAACATGTGAGACCCTTTGAAACCACCAAACGTGATCAGAGGTTCACGCCGCAAACCAAATCAATAAATCCAATTGCTTAAAATCGATCAAACAGCAAAAACACAAATGTAAATGGTTTGAAAAAAAAGCATTGTAGATTCAGATAATTATATGATTATACGCATGTCGTTCCATTGGTTTTAGCATTCGTGAACTCAAGAACATATCAAACATAACTAGGTTCGCCCGAAAATAGAATAGAAGTGGATACGTACCCAAAACATGGCCATGTTCAGTCTATAGCAATCCTCAAAAAGATCGAAACGCTTCAATTTGCTACTGTTTCTGTTTCAGTAGGGTTTTGCGAACATCCAGTTGTTCAATTCAATTTTGGGGTTTGTATTTTATTGTTGCTATATCATGTACATTCATATCCAATTACCCTAGAGTAAGCTAATTTGGAAAAACCCATCATGGTTCCCCATGGGTTCTCTACTAGTATGTTGGTTTACCAAAGGGTCAATTAAATCCCACACACTCCATACAGGATGGTGCCCCTCAGTTATAAGTTGGTTTATAAATTCCAGTAACTATAGTTATAAGTACCATAAACCATAGTTATTGGAGTTATAAACCAACTTAGCTAACTATGGGGCACCACCTTGTACATGTAAACAGATTTTTACTAAATCCCATTAAATCAACATTAAATCATCCCATTTATCCAGAATATATTCCCATCATATCTCCATGATCAAGATATTCCCACAATATCTCCATCGTATCTCCATCCAAAAAAAAACATACCACCTGGAGATGATTTTTACGATCCATTTATGATATTTTTGGGGATGGTTTATTATTGGTTTTACCACATTACCATTTTTTGGTAAAAAAATACCCATTAAATATGTTTTTTTTTACGTATAACATACCGTACCATTAGATAATGTTGTATACCTATGACATCACATTCCAGTAGCTGATGATGATGATGGTGATGATGGTGATGATGATGATGATACTGCCATGCTATTCCCACAGTTATGGCCATTTATTAGTTATAACTGGTTATTTCTATGGGATTATACATTCTATAAATGGGGTTATAAAAACCCAAGATCATGATGTTACCCAAACTATTTAATCTATTTTAATTCCACTCAGGTTATTCCATCTATTTTAATTGGTAAAGGGCCTTATAACATGGGATTATACATTCTATAAATGGGGTTTTGTTAGTACTTATAATTGGTAAAGATCATTCCTTAATTGGTTATACAAGTACTTATAATGGGATTATACATTCCTTAACTGCATGATCATGATGTTACCCGTGCACCGACTGCAGCGACTGCAGACAACAACCAGCGCCTCGGCCAACTCCACGGAGGTCTCCGCCTTGCCGTTGGAGTTCCGGGCACTCGCTCCGCGGCGTTCTGCCTGGTGACCAGATGGGCGTTGGGGTTCCGGTGAAATGGTTGGAAGATCTTTATATATGAACATACATATATATATTTTTTTTATTTATTTATTTATGTGTATGTATATATATATGTGTGTATATGTATATGTAAATATATATATATGTATGAACATATATACAATTATATACATTATGTTGATAAATGTGTTCATGACTTACACTAAAACATGTTCCCGTCCCAAGATCATTGATCTTAACAAAAGGAGAAGTTCCCGACTCAAATACATCCTTCGCCTCGATCTCTCGAACTAACAGCTTCGAAGCCACATCCGAAACTTCTCGGCCTTGGAAGCCACACCCTGTGAACGCACAGGGCCAAGGGTTATAAAATGTTATGAATTCATAACTGCTTTCTGCCAAACACGTGCCTCACAAGTAACTTGAAGGAGATTGCATAAAAAATGATGGAATCACCCCAGTGGATGGCACTTCAACCCTGAACCCAGCTGGCTTTGTTGCCAGGACTCTATAGATATGTCTTTTTAAGTGGGTTATTCCTCATTTCGAGACCATTGTATGTATATATATATATAATACATATCTTGGGGGACTATTGAGATGTGTACATACAATTCTATATAATTGCAAGTAATTATATGTGTATATGATATACATACATATATATATATTTATCATGTTAACATTGTCATTCCCGTTGTGAATTCCTGCCGCGTGTCGTGGCCACTGTGGTTCTCTGAGTCTGGTGCCACCGTGGCCATCTAACACGGCGAAGAGCAGCGAATCTGCGCCGATTTTTTCTGGTGAAAGCCGCATGTTTGGTGGGGAATGCTGCAAACCTAAGAGATGAGAGATGTCACCATCTAGGAATATACATAGTGAATACATACATATATATATGTATATATATATATATGTATACATATATGTATATACAAATATATATATAGTGCATATATGAATCGAACTGTATCGAAAGGTATCGATATATAGACAATGTATAAAAGACATATTGTTTCATAAGCAGGCATAGTGATGATCTGGTCATATTTGGATCGATTCTTGGAGGAAAAAAAACGGAAAGTCAGGGCGCTACTTTCCAGATATAGGGATGTCGTATACATTCTTTTTTGGGATTCTATGGTTTGCAAGGATTGCAGCATTTTCTACTGGCGAAACGACATGATTTCATATATTTTCATACTAGTATTTGGATTGCAGACTGGATTCTGCTAATTAATCGATTCTCGGCCCTACTGCAGGTTTCCAATCATTCATATCTTCAGCTAGGCCTAAGTATAGTTGTTCGTGTCTCTGGATTGATGTTAATGAAAATCTACTAGGAACCCATGTTTTGCTTTACCAAAAAAAGGGTTCCCTTACTTCTGCCTCCAAGCATTTCTGCGATGAAAAATTGTGGGCAAAGCCATGTATGACATATTTGGCTACAGACTGCAGGCTCTTCAAGGGAAATGTATGTAAAGTTATCTAATGTGGGTAAAACAATAATAAACCACCCATTTGGGAATGGTTTATACCACCTATCTATGGTGATTTGGGGGATTGTTTATTATTGTTTTACCCACATTATGTAATTTTGAGTGGAGAATGAACTCATCCCACAGCCATCTACCCTCTGGTGATTTTCACACAGCAGCTCGCACCATTACTTAAAAAGGCAAGTCATCTGTAATGTGCTATACTGGCAAGAGGATCTACCAGAGTAGCAATTGAAATCCATTATATGATCCGCCGTCAAAATCAATTGTTGATGCTTGGGTACGAAAATATAGGTTGTTGATTTTTTTGGGGGCCCTATCGCTTTACAGTGTTTTGTTCAAATGAACACACTAAATAATGCAAAAATGCAGCGGAATTGGCTTCACAGATTCAAATCTCTAAACTGCTGGGAATGGACTAAGGGGCGCTCGTTGTCTTTGCGTTTGCAACCATGTTGGGGAGCTATCTAAGCACATTCCTGGACTCTTTCCTAAGGAAGGGCGTTCAATACAAACCCAACTCTGAACTTAATTAAGATCAATGGTTCCCAATGGGTATAAGATCACTAATTCTATGACAACAAAAAAGGGTTACCTCGCAATTGTCCCTGTTTGACAAGTCATGGAGTGAGAAAAAGCCACACTTCCACTTTCAAAAACTCTAGAAACTGAAGATGGGACCTCATAGTTCCAATAAAGAAGCGTTCGTAGCTATGAAGAAGTGCTTAAAGGCTCCACAAGTCTCAAAACAACCTGATGGCCTAGGGTTGAGAACCTGTTCGTTTTTTTGTTGAATTCTTCTGGTTGGGATCAAATAAGTCTATCCCTCGTCCGGGGTTCCTTTTTGAACAAAAAATTATCGCTAGGTTATCGCTAAGGTTATCGGACACCTTGATGAACAACAAAGGAAAAAAAAGGAACGTGGAACAAAAATGACAATTGAAAAAAAGGAAAAAGAAAGAAAAGAAGGAGAAAAGGAAACGACGGAAGAAGAAAGGACAAATCAAACAAAAGGGAAATAAAATAGAATAAATGAAATGCAGAATTGGATTCAACATAAATTTTGATTTACTTTAGAATTCAAAAGGAAAATAAAAGGAAAATGGAAAGAAAGACAAAGAAAAGGAAACAAAGGAATACGAAATTCAAATTAAAGTAAAACACATAAACGGAATTCGGAATTAAACTTTATGTTTTATTTCAATTCAAAATTTGGTTGCGTTAGTTGAGTTTGGTTCTATTGTTTTGGGACCTGGGAGAAAAAACAACTGCCTGCAGAAAGCAACCGTTCAATCACCTTGAACAACAAATGGTATGGCAAGTGCAAGAAACATGGGCACTGCAGGTTGAGTTTTCTTCATCCTTTTTGCCCATCCCGTGAAGGCACACAACAATATGTGTTTGGTTTACACCAAGTTTAATGCACTCTCATATGGTTACATTTTTTTTGGGGGGGGGGCTATCGCTTTACATGGTTTGGTGCACTTTCTCAACACAACTGGGCCTTCCCTTACTAAAGTAGTTTACGTTCATTTTGATCGCATCTCATATAAAGAATTCGGGACGGGGGTGCGTGATGACATGCATAAATTTGTGGATGGGTATAATTACATATGTACATTAATGCACATGTACTATACCAGATAGTGCCCGGCACGCGCCAGGGCGGAATTTTCAAAAATAAGGGATGGTTATAAGAAATCAATGGCCTATCGTTTTTGCGATGCAGAAGCCTTGAGCGGTTGAAGTTGTGAGGTGCATCAAGGAATGAGGAACAGGTGTGTGTGAGATGCTAATTAAACAAAATGAAAGACGCCGTGCACAACTGAGTGCATGAACCAATGAATCGATGAAGCAATGAATCAATGAATCAGAAATCCAATGCATGAATGAAACAACAAAGCAATGACTCTTGATAAATCAACGGCCAGCAAACCAATGAATCAATGAATCAATGTGCCAGTCAGTCAATGAATCGATGAAGCGACGAAGCAACGACTCAATGAATCAACCAACTGCAGTGAACCAATGAACCGATGAATCAATAAATCAATCAGTCGAAGTTCGGTGACACATTGAACCAATGAATCATTGCATGAATGGTTTAGTTAGCCGGTGAATCAATGAATGAGTGAATCCATGAATGAATGAAGTAGTGAGTAGATGAACCAATGAATCAGCAACAATTCAGTGAATCAATGAAGGACGAATCAATGAAACGATGATTCAGTGAATGAATCAATGACTCAGTGAGTCGGTGATTCAGTGAATCAACGAAGCAATGCACGACTGAAATGAGTGAGTCGAAGAATCAATCAGTAAATCAATGCATCATTGAATCATTGATTCAGTGATCAATGAACCAATGAATGAAGGGATGGATGGATGAATGAACGGATGGATGGGGCAAGCTACGTCTTCACTGATGGACCTCCTCGCTGATGCACCTCTTCTCTCACCTACTTGTTCTCCAAGCAGCCACTTACCTGGGCCACTACTTCTGCTCTGAGCTGACTCCCAGCTGGCTCTTTTGCAGCTTCTGCAACCCAAGTGTTCTTTTCGCGCAGCTTTTACAGTGCGTTTAGCAGCCTCCAGCTGCAATCCCGCAAAACACCAGCTGTGACAATGCGTTTAGGAACCTCCAGCTGCAAACCCGCTTGCCAGGAGCATCACAGCATCACTCATGCTTTGCAGCGCGCACCCATGCCAATGCGTTTTGTCACAGCCGGTTGCAAACCCGCAAAGCAGGAGCCATTCATTCGCGCAGCGCCAGCAGTGCGGACTTTTGGAAGCATGCTGCACCCCACAGTTTTTTACGCTTTTTATGTGAAATCGAGCTCTCGCAACAATCTCATGTCGTGCGCCTCTTGCCGACCTTATCTTCCAAGTGCTCCAAACGAGACAGTTTTTTGACATCTTGAATCATCTTGACATGCAAATCGAGATTTTGCCGGCCTTATCTTCCAAAAGTGCTCCGAACGTGACATTTTTTCACATTTTGAAGTGCAAATCGAACTCTCACTAAAGTCTGGTGCACATTTTGCCGACCTATATCTTCCAAAAGTGCTCTGAATGTGAGTTTTAACATCTTGAAGTGCAAATCGAGCTCTCGCTGCAGTCCTGCATGCACACTTTTGTCAACAACTTTTGCAGATCGAGCCCGGATCCCGCGGAAACAGAGACCCTACTTCGGCGACCCCGAAAGCCACTTAAAATATATTTAAAAGAAAATGGTTTCGCACCCGAGGGTGTTTTCACCCGTGAATTCACGCGTTCCCGACATGGTGATGTGGTTGACATGATGGTGGAAATGCTGACCATGACAATCGTCCGTAACTCGGAAGTTTTCTAACTAAACTTCCTTTGACAAACAATGTACAACACATCTGTTAATATACAGTACTATATATGCATATATAGAATATACAGAATATGGCAACAAATACAATATCTGGGAAATCAAATATGAATTCACTAACCTGAAATAAGGCTATAGTGGGATCCTCCCCCTTACTAACGATCATTCCAATGAGGTCGTTGCCCGGCCTCCGAAGACATCTTTGCGCAGCTCATCCACCACATAGGCGTCCTTGAAAAAGGATTTACAGGGTGGATTTGAAAGGCCATTAGGGACATATATGGCGTTGCGGCATTTGAAGACCATGTAATGGGGACACAATGGGAACATGTTTGGGGACAACCAAAAATATGTGTTGGTTTCATGAACATGGAATCTTGACCATATGCCAAAGGTTTTCAAACGATTGGATGAATTGGGATACAGTACCTTAATCTTGAACAAACCCATGACATCCCATGACAAAGTTGGGAGCTAGGGTTGATTCTCCAATAAAGTGGTGAAACCAGCAGTGACCTGAATGTTGTAGGGTTTATCTATAGGAAAAATATGGAAAATTACATGGCGACATTGGGTTTTGGTTGGGTTTACTTGTAGGGAGCTCTCCGTTCCAGCATGTAGCATGTTGCAACCCACTCATTTAATCAGGGTTCAAACCGTTTAATGATACATCTCCTCACAGTGAAAATTATTCAGCACATCAACCCCAAAGCTTTCATCAGGGCTGCGGTGAAAAGAATGGTACAGGAGGCGTGTGTCAATTGCGCACTGCTTTTCTTGGGGGAAATTGATTCATGGATTCCACAAGGTTTAGTTCGAAGCAGCACATCGGGCATAAGCAGCAAGGAAAGTGAATCACTACTCGCCCTCTGGTTATCAAACAAGGCAGCCATGGCAGTGGCAAAAATACCGTTTTATAACATTTAAGTCATTCTCCTAGCATTCAGGTGTTGTCTCATTACATTCAGGCGACAAGCTTGCGGTTTTCACTCCACAAAAACAACTGCATGCACTTTTTCCTTTGATTTTTGCAACACAGTTTTGTTCTGGATTTTGCATTCTACTGTTTGAAAGGCTGAGCAAAGTTGCACAATGTAAATGCAATTTTCAATCGAATTGATGTTTTTGTAGGTTATATTGCATTGGTACTGTGTCCTTGCGCAAGGATTCGAATACTTGGATGGTGTTGGGTTGTTGCAAGTGGCATTGCCAGGCTCAAACCACAACACGTGCAAACAATGACGCTTATCACGCAACATAAACCATCATAAACCGATAGAAAGATCGACTGACATGGCTTTCATGACCAAAAAACATCAAATTCAAGCTTGGCTGCGCACAAGGGTGGTGCAAGATTCAGTCGCGTTGTATCATCACGGGTGCCGGGACACCGGGATGCCGCCCTGCATGAACATGCTTTGAAGTCATGCGCTGCCAATACCGCTTTTCCGTGTAAAGACCGTTCAGCCAAGCTTGAATTTGAGATTTTTTGGTCATGAAAGCCATGTCAGTCGATCTTTCTATCGGTTTATGTTGCGTGATAAGCGTCATTGTTTGCAAGTGTTGTAGTCTGAGCCTGGCAGTACCAATAGCGAACAATCCAACACCATCATTACAGCACAATTGTCCCAATTGTTGAACAGACACACAGTACTGACCGAAAAAAAATCGGCTGCATCTATTTGATTGAACATGTTCATTTTACATAGTTGACCTGTGTTAAGCTTTTAATACAGTAGCAGTAGGAGTGCACAATCCAAAACATGACTGCGTGCAGTTGCCCTGCTGCAGACATAACACCTGAAAGCAATGAGACAACACCTGAATGCTGGAAAATGACTTATTTTATAGATTATTTTCTCATGACACCTCCCTTCAGCGGGGATTTCCATTTCCATGTTAGATTCCCCAAGGTTACCTCAGAATGCTTGGAAGGTCTTTGACAATGAAGACTGTGTCTCGCTTGAAAGCTGGTTGTACCCCAGGCAAGAATACCTGGGAACTACGCAGACTGTGTGTCTCTCGTACCACGTTGCAAAAAAACAAAGAAGACATGCTGGCACGAATGATGCAAGAAGGTTTGCAACCGTTTCGTGCGGCTGAACTTTATCTTCTAGCGGCTTATACTACTACACTGTTACACTACACTCAATGTAACTCAATGTACAGCTGAAGATCAATACCTGAAAATGGAGGGAGGCAAATTCTTATTTCGCTTGGCTCAACATTGAAAAGTGCACATCTCCAAGGCTCAAACTTTAAAAAATGGTGAAAACACATCAAAACACAGATCATTCCGCATGTCATGTGCGATGTCTGCACCAAACCTCTGCAGGTTTTCAGCTGGAGCTGCTGGAGCTACGGTATAACCAGATAACGTAAACATGCGGAAACCCTATACAAGGTGGTGCCCCAGTTCGTTAGCTAAGTTGGTGAACATAACTCCAATGTCACTATGGTTTATGGATGTTTATGGTACGCAAATAACATCTTATAACTATAGTTACTGGGGCTTTTGTTAACCAACAAACATCACTGGGGAGCCTCACATGGTATAAATAGTGCTCTGCTAACTGCTATGGACACTCCCCACATCTTGCTGCACAGAAGCCCTCGGATTTGGCAGCGCCGTCTATGGGAAGTCCAAAAAATAGGTGAAACATGTTGAAACATGTTGAAACCATACTTGACCCCGCAAGTGCCTCATGATTCGGGTATGGGCCAAAATAAGTTATATACTCCTAAATTGGATCGTTCAATACCAAACTTCACACAAAGAAAAGCCAAATCTGGTCTTATCGGTCTTGAAGTTCAACCTCAAGCTCCAAGTATGGCTTCTTTAGGGATTCAACATCTGCAACGCTCTCTTCACCTTCTTGCACAAACCAGTCAGCTCAACTCCTGTTGCCTCAAAGTCTCCCAATGCCGCCTGCGCAGCTTCCAAGCGATTTGCCGGCTTGTCGCGTAGGGCATCTGCAATGGCATCAACACCCCTCAGGTTAAAATATGCAAAAAAGCTGTTAGGCTGGATTTCTAAAGTTTCCATTTCCGCCTTTGCGGAGAGGATGTCCCCCAAAGGGGCTGTCATGTAGAATCCGATCAGAGCGGTGAAAGCGACAATGGTCCGCGAAGCAAAGCAAAAGCTGGGAACGAGTCCCAAAAGTATTTGGCAGCCCGGTGCTGTTTTGCTCCCCAACCCCAGCAAGATCTGATAGCAGATGTGATAACAATCGAGTCTATCTCAAGCTTGCTTGTGTTAAGGAGGTCCAGCATTGCAGCTGCAGTCTCGACATCACCTTCGTCTGCTGCAGCGTGGAGACGAGATGCGACCAGCATGTGAGAGAGCGTACACTTTTCACGTGCTTCATCCCAAATTACACGAACCTTTTCAGGCTTACCCAGCTTTCCGAAGATCCTCAGAGCAGAGGTTTTATCATTGGCGGATCAAACTCGTCTCGCAAGTCTCGAGAGACACTTTTCACAAATCAATGCAACCCTTCTTCATATTTACGGCATCTCAGTGCAGCATTCATGGCCGCACCATAGATTTGTATTGCCTTTTCCAGGATTTTTGGAGAAGCACGACTGGACCTCCCACCAGTTCCTCCGCTCGCTGGCACTTGAGATTCGTCGAAGAAGTTGTTTTTCTTGGTTAGAAAGGGGAAGTAGTGGATTTTCCAAGGAGTCTCTGACTTTGACCCTGGAATCATGCCCGGTCCTTTCGCGCACTTCACTTGCGGACTGCTGCTTTGGCCGACCAAACGCACACGAAGGGGTCTTGAGGAGTAGGACCAGAAAGGCCAAACAAATATAGAGAGGCAACCAACTCACTCTGTTCCCATTCCTCCTTCCATGAAACACCCAAAGTGTCAGAACCATGGCGCAACCCTTGATAGTGAACCGAATACAAGCTGGGCAAAAGCAGTCACCTTGACATGAAGTCGCTGCAACAGATTGGCTCGCTTGTTTACAAAATTGAGAGAGCTGCTCAGAGCCAGCAATGAAGGTACTGTACCATTGGAAGGTTAGGATCCGTTCTTCGAACTTCGGCATCCGAAAAGGGTGCCCTGCCCCAGACATCCTCACAGCGTCCTCCATGTTCTCGCGCCAGCCGCGCATGTCCGCGGCGAGCCAGGAGACCTTGGCATCTTGAAAGCTGCCCGACCTCAGCCGTGGCTGGAAAAATCGATGAAAACGATGTTGTCTTTCATTTAAATGGATTGATTTATGGATAAATTCGAAAACTGGTGAGATTGACCAGCCATCATGACAAGGAACATCCAGCAATGGGCATACATGGTGGTGGATGGGCTAGTCAAATTTTGATTTACCAATGTATACGAATTCATGTCCATTTTATTTTTAATGAGACAATGGTGATTGACCCATGGCCTTTAGGGGTATCCAATGTTTGGACAAACCCAAAAAAACAGATCCAGAAAAAATCTTATTTGCTGTGCATGGTTATTTGATTCTATTTGATATTATACAATATATGTATGTAACTATGTATATATATATAGTATATATATACATGTATATACAAACATTAGTTGGCTAAATACAGTAATATTATGTAATATGATTTTTTTCGTCAACCTTGGATCAATGGAATGGCAGATGTTAATTTTTGATGTGCTGCCTTAGTCAACTTTAGTCATTTGCCGCAGATGGCCTGATAAGCCCTTAAAATGTTTGGATTGTTGGGAAAAGCATGAACATGTACCACTTGCAACTGGCTGCACGCTCCTGCATTGAACATCCTGAGTCTGGTCTTGAATGCCAGGAAGATTTGGGGGGTTATGTTGAATCTGGCGACTTTCAGTGTTCGTCCAGCTTGATATCCAACCACAAGTGCGGGATCGCAACTCTTCCATCAACATGGTTTCAAAAAAAGAGAACCATCACAACAATCAGTCAAAACTCATCAATGAAACAACAACACAATTCAACACATCTTCAAAAATCTTCAACAATCTCATTTTTTTCATACATGGCTTGTAGTAAGACCATCCCCAAATGGTAGTTCTTTATGGCACTTCCAACAAAAACATGGCTTCCAGGGCTCCCAGACTCCACGCGCACGCGCAAGTCAGGTGTTGGATGGGCGGTAAAAATGCCAGAGACCTGTGAAGCAAATTCCATGACGGATCCGGCTGGTGCTGGTAGAAAAATGCTAACATAAAGGGGGTTAATCTTGATGGGATCCATGTCACCATATATAGCACCATGGATCCGTCATGGGAATGGCTAAGGAAAAGCCATGGCAGATCTAAGTTCCATCCCCGAGAACTGGAAACCATAAATGGGGTACCCACTTAACTGAGGAAACCTCCGATATACAGAACACATACAGAACACACACATCATATATCATAATATCTGATATCTATGATATATTATGATATATAATCTGTGCATGCGAAATAATTTATTTCATTTCATATTGAAGAACATCGTGGGGGATAATGTTGCCACATCCTACAAGTTTTTATTGGATATCATGGCACAAACAAAAAGCGGGATGAACATTTGCATACCCTCTGGTAAACTAACATAACTATGGAAAATCACCATTTTTAATGGGAAAATCCACTATAAATGGTCATGTTCAATACCTATGTTAAATTACCAGAGGGTAACAGCGAATGACACCAAAATGGGATGACCCCCGAAATGGGCCTGTTGCGCCACCCAAATTAGCATCACAAGGGCGACCTGAAACAGGGGAGGTAACGCGACACAACGGTGTCCCGGTGTCCTGGGTTCAAGTTACAGATCTAGTGACCTGGGATATCTATAGATATCTGCAAGGTGGTGCCCCAGTTCGTTAGCTAAGTTGGTTTATAAGTCCAATAACTAGGGTTGATTAGGAGGTTATATCTATAGTTAATGGGGATTATAAACCAACTTATAACTGGGGGGGCACCACCTTGTATATACAGGTTTAGATCCGACAGCGATGACCATTGTTTTGGAAGCTTTCGAGGGACTGTCGAGAATGTGTGGGACCCAGTTTCACTGCCTTGGTTTTGTCTTCCATGTTTGTCTATGGGCAACAACATCTTGCACACTTGGGAAACTACATGTGCTTTCTACTGCAAAAAACAAACACATTTAGAGACAATCTACAGCAAAACGCATGTATATAATTGTATATATATATATACATATACATATATATATATATTTGGATGGACAAAATCCTGCTTTCCTTGCATTTGCCCTCAAATCAAACTCACAGTTTACACATTGATCAGTTTTGCCGGAACCGCTTCATCATCCGGTTCATGGCTTCAGTCCATCCAGTCCAAAGATGGTGTACCCTCAAAACATGTGCTTCATCATCACCACCCCAATTCAATTTGACGTAGCTATTGAAAATGGCCATTTATAGTGGATTTTCCCATTAAAAATGGTGATTTTCCATAGTTATGTTAAATTACCAGAGGGTACCCCAATTCAAATGTTGTGGTATTTTTCAGACACAACCATATGATCTAGTTCATGTTCATATCCTGAAAAAATGTTCCCATTGTTGTTGGTTGAACCAGCATATGGAAATATTGTGACGGTCAAATCCCGTCTTTTTGATCGTTGAATACGCGAATCTCATCTACAAGGTGGTGCCCCATAGTTAGCTAAGTTGGTTTACAACTCCCATAACTATGGTTTATGGTAGATATAACTATAGTTAATGGGGTTTATAAACCAACTTATAACTGGGGGTCACCATCCTGTATTGTGTCTTGATTCGGGGTGCACGATACACCTCCCCTGTTTGGACGCAAGATTGTTGCAGGTCCGGTCTGAGGCCCCACAGCATAGAAGCAGCATGAGCGCAAGATGTTGGGAGCCTAAGTTTCTTGGCAATCTGTTTGGCTGGTGAAGACATTAAACCTCATTAAACATGGTGATTCAACAAATGGGTTGTTTAACCAACAATACTAGGGATATATTGGGGATATGAATTATGAACTATTAATTCTGAACCAACATGAACCAACAATATGATAGTTGGGTGTGGACCTGAAAATGGGGGAGATTGGCCCCCCATTTTCAAAGGCCATTTCAGTAGTGCCCAGTGAACACAGACGAACCCATGGAATCAGCTGCCGCAAAACACAGGATGTTGCCGTGGCTGATGGACATGTTGAACGGAAAGTTAGGATGAAATGTTCAACTGTTAGAACCTGGATTGAGAAAGCCATGATGAAACAGAAAGTGCGTTCCCACTTTGAAAAGGGCTGGTGAAATGTGGTGAGTACATCAGCCGAGGGATCAATAACCATTTAAAAGGGGCTGCATTGGAAATACCCAGATCACTCGCAGCTGTTTATGCACAATACCCAGCTGTTTTTCTCAAACCTGGCAATGGCAAATCCCCATGGATCCATTCAAACACCAGAGGGTTGGCCGGAATATTTGTTGTAAACCAGGAAAGCCCTGGGGCGCACTCAAAACGTGGATGTTCTCAGCCCGAACCAACAAGTATTCCCAGTAGATTCTCACGACTTCATAACCGCAAAATTTTAGATGTGGACTATCTGAAAAACACAAAACGACAAAAAATCTCAGTCCAAGCATATAAAATCGCAAATGATAGAATTCCAAATGTGCAATCCATTGTACAGCATCCCCCTTCTCAGAGAGAAAAGTTGCAAACCTCCTGGAAATACTTTTTTGGGGTTGGAATATATATATATATAATATACATGTATACATGAATATTATATATATATTATTGTATGGAATATGTTTCCTTTCCAAAGTTGTATAATCTGTCCATTCCAAAGTTCTGGGTTTTCCGCCATGTGTGATTACAAGAGGAAAACTCTTGGACCCCGGCCACGCCAATCACCTGCCGAAATTCACCAATCGCTTGGGTGTTTTTTTTCAGCAGCAAACATTGGGATTTGACGGCAATGAGGATCTCACCAACAAGTGGAGTAGGTACGTATGTAGAATCAACTATGATACAACTAGATTTGCATGCAAAGAAGGCATATAGTGTACTTACATACCATAGCATACCAAAATTTCAAAACATAACATAACATAACATGACATACAACAACAACGTGTAACACAAATTAACATAACATACCATAAATTAACATAAACTAACATGACATAGCATTAGTACTTATTTCAACGGAGATTTCATACTTGGGATATTGATTGATTCGATGCATTAGTACATTACATTACATTACACTACACTACATTACATTACGATACATCACATACATGGCAATACATGCACATACATTGCATTACGTACATTACATCACATATATTTCATTACATACATTCATTGCATTATATGCATTAGATTACATACATTACATACATTACATACATTACATACATTACATTCATTACATACATTACATACATTACATACATTACATACATTACATCATTACATACATTACATACATTACATACATTACATACATTACATACATTACATGCACTACATTACATACATTACATTACATACATTACATTACATACATTACATAACATTACATACGTTACATTACATTACAATACACTACATTACATTACGTACAGTACATTACATTGCATTGCATTGCATTACATTACATTACATACATATGCAAGTATATGCATACACTTATGCAATTGTATGCATACACATATGCATGAAACTGCATGATGTTTTCAATGTGCTGATCTTGATACGTCCAGCAGCATTAATGGGGAATGGGGAGAATATTTTGAAGTCCGGGAGGACTACTTAAACGGACTTGCCCTTTTCACCCATTTTCATCCATGTTCAACCTTTTCATCCTGTTCATTTTTTTTCATTCATTAAACGCACTTGCCCGGAGTTTTTGAGGTGCAGATTGGCTTGAACTATGCCATACCCATCTGGTTTTATCATGTTTATCAACCAACAATAGCGTGGTGAGATGCACTGGTCGACTGTCCATGCATTTCACATTCCATCTTTGGGGATGAACAAACAACATCAAGTTGGAAACATGTTTGTTTGGGTTCAATTTCTGCTGAATAAACAACAACAACAACAACAACAACATAATAATAATAGTCATAGTCATAATCATACTCCTCCTCCTCCTCCTCATCATCATCATCATAACTACCATCAGTTTCTTGGAGAAAAAACTAACACACAAAAAAAAAAACATTTTGCATGTGTGAATAATATAAATAGTATCTGAAACGACCTGCGTTTGTACAGCTGTAACATTCTAGAGATGCATACAGCTGAATTTGGTACATGTACTGGTTGCAGGCCTTGCTCTCGAACAGGAAAATGAGCCAAAGACTCAGGGAGACGCGACCTCACTGGCTGAAGGTTGAAGATTTCAAGAATACATAGAACAACTTACCCTGTTAGATTGGTAATGGAAATAAGAAAAAAATGTTGAATAGCAATGTCAGCTTCACATGACTAGGCTATACTGTTTTGTTTGCCAGCTTCATGTTGCAGATCCACCATTGCCCTTGAATCTCCCTGTTGTTCTTCCTCCGCTGTTACACTTGTTCAAATCATAAACAAGACCAAAAACAAACATCGTTTTCACATGACCCCACATGTTGACTGGTACCACACACTACATGTTACCAATGTTGTTTGGTTACTTACACTACATAATTCATACGTACAGATACACAATGATACATCATACAGCGATATCAAGAGGTTGAACATTCATTAGCACCATCATTATAAACAATTATAAACATAATATACGGGAACTACATTTAAATATACGGACTTTTAAATATACGAACAGGTATTTTAGACTACCTCCGGGAAGGTTTTCCTTGGCCCGACCGGCCATTTAAACATACGGAATCCAATTCATTTAAACATACGGCAACTACATTGAAATATACGAACTGGTATTTCATACTACCTCCGGGGCCTCGCGGTCTGGCCCGCCCTCCACATATTTAAATGGCGTTACCGTATAATTATGATCAACATTATATAATTACATATCATTGTAAACATTCATTATTTCATTCATGATATGTTTGTTAAATTTTAAACATTATATAAATTATAGATCATATGTGGGAAAATCATATTTACCATCATTTTACAGTACAAATGACCATCCTTTCATCGGCTTGGCAGAGTGCTGAGGCATGCGAAGACAAAGGGCGCCCAAGGCCATCGCCAGGACCTTGGCGGTGATTTCACGATGATTTCACCACCGATTTCAATGGGTGAAACATCATCCGGGGATGATCAAAATGGCATGTAGCCGGCCTGGTAAACCATGGGAAAACCATATGAAAATGGTGATTTAATGAGGCTTTATGGTGGTTTAATGGGATTTAATGGGATTTACCCGGCCTGGTAAACGTTTACATAACTATGGACAATCACCATTTTATAGCTGGGAAAATCAATTATAAATTGCCATTTTCAATAGCAAACTGTTAAATTACCAGAGGGTATTGATAAAACAATTACCCATTTTTTGTTATGGTTCCAATTGCCCAAAAATTGATAAAATTAGAAATATTTCTTCAAATGACCAAAAATTGATAAAACATTCCAAGAAACACAAATATGGGTCATTAAATGTCCCCATTGAACATCACCCAACCATTAGGTATATGGTCTATAATGGCTACTATAAGGTGATGTCCAATATACCCAAAGTGGGACAGTTACCAACCCCCGACATATTTCATCATGTTTCTATTTTTGGAACATCATGGGGATAATTTCTGAGAATCGAGATCTGGGACAAAATCCCAAGGGGGATACAACGGGAATCAGAATCGACTGGTTGAGCCAGAAAATCGCACAAAAATCATCCCAAATCCATGATCACCACGGCAACGCCAATGCGAAAATGGGGAAAAAAAAACGTTGAGGTATCGGTAATATAATTAATATGTATACTATATACATAACCTTAATTTGGTGAAAAAAACACGTTGATGGTGTTTATAAACTTTATTGGTGTATAACATTCAATAACCATTAATGTATGGAGGAAATAACCATCTTAATCCATCTTATAAGTTGGGGTCCTACACATTGTAAATGTTTGCTTCCAACATCAAATTGTGGACATGGCATCAATTCTGGATCATTCCGCCTTCCTCCTAAATCAATTGACACAATAAGTGCACGGGAACAGCTAAAACAAGGGCTGCAGCTAAGCCAGACTCAACACTAGGATAGTGGAATCATGTACAATCATTAATTTCGATCTTTCAGGCACCCTCCACATCCCAGATCTCCCAAAATTTGAGGTGTGTACAAGCTAAACAACCGTTTGGTGGGTTCCAGTTTCGCTGTGCCAGGGAAACACGTGCATTGAGAGGCCCAACTGGCCACGGCCCATTTTTCTTCCTGCAGATGATCTGCTTGGTGCTGATGCTGGAATGCATCAACAGTGTTGACCCACGTTAAGATGGAGGTTTTTATATAATTTATATACCCTCTGGTAAATCACCATTATTAATGGGTAAATCCATGTAAATCCACTTTTTCATGGCAATTTTCAATAGCTATGTTAAATTACCGGAGGGTAATTTCTGGTTGGTGGTAGACCTACCCCTCTGAAAAATATGAAAGTCAGTTGGGATGAATTATTCCCAACATATGGAACCATAAAAATGTTCCAAATCACCAACCAGTAATACTCATAATATCTCATAATACTAAAAATTGACCAAGTCTGTGAGTGGCACCCCATTTACGAGCCACATGTTTGGACTATCGCTACTTGGATATTCATCCCAGGAAACATTGTTACTAGCCATTCGTCATCAGCAAGCTATCGGATAAGCCCACTAATCAGGAACTTACCGTCACCACTGTTCATTCATCCGTTTGCAAGTCATGAAGATTTCCTGAAGATCTCTGAGTTGGGATGGGTCAAGTTAAAACAAAAACGAAAATCGAACCGACAAACAGCAATATGAACGCCGCAAGCAAAGTTTCGCTAGTTCAGTCCCAAAAAAATCAGACCCTCCGAAAACGTATGTGTTTCCCTGCAAGACCTGCGATCGAAGATCCTATGATAAGCAGCTGCAAAAAAACACATAAAAATTGTGTATAGCCCAAAAAATAGCAATTTTCATCGGGAAAATGTGGTGATGAATTTTGGATAATTTTGGGCTATCCTACAATGTGAGGCCCCCCAGTTATAAGTTGGTTTAGATTCGCCCCAGTAACTATAGTTATAAGTACCATAAACAATAGTTATTGGAGATATGTTCACCAACTGAGCGCTATCTTGGGGGCCTCACACATGGTATAGATAGCCCATTTATAGATGATTTTCCCAGCTATAAACCTCCATTTATTTTGGGGATTTTCAATGGCTATGTCAAATAACCAGATGGGCTATCCCATTAAATTCCATTAAATCACCATAAACCCTCATTAAATCACCATTTTCATATGGTTTTCCTATCTGAAGACAAACTCCAATGGACCTGGATTCATCCCCCATGCGCCACACCTCAGCTTGTTCTGGCCCGCACAGCTGCAGATTTGATCCAAAACGCGCGGATACGACGCGAGTCACGTGTAACTCAACGGGGTTGACCTGTAACCTTGGGCGAATGCCCATGGAACACTGGAAAATGGGAATACTGGTGTATATCCCATGACGGATCCATGGTGCTGGTATTATATATGCTAACATAAAGGGGTATATTGATGGGATCCATGTTACCATTTTTTTAGCATACATGGATCCTATGGGTATTAAGATTGTTCTATATAAATATATTAATATCTATCATATATGTATAATATTGTATAATATTCTATAATTATGTATATATGAAATTAGTTGTAATTATAAATACACATTAAATGTAAATAGATATTTCAATAAAATTCTATATCGATCAGCAAAATACAGTGCAACATTATACAGTATGTATAATTTGTATATAATATATATATATATATATGTATGTATGTATGTATGTATGTATGTATGTATGTATGTATGTATGTGTATGTATGTATGTATGTATGTATGTATATATATATAATTATATATATAATTATATATATATAATTATATATATATTGGTACACTGCCCAGCTGAAGTAGCCGAAAACAATTCCGAAAACACCAGCTCCAACTCGGCCATCGGCAAACCACCGTTCCGAAAATTCGGCCTCAACAGCAGTTCATCCTCGGACATCCACGACTGATTTGAGTCTTTGTAGATTTTAAGATATTTTACCCTCTGGTAAACTAACATAACTATTGAAAATGGCCATAGAAATAGTGGATTTTCCCATTAAAAATGGTGATTATCCATAGCTATGTTAAATTACCAGAGGGTAAGTGTGATTTCAAGACTGGTTGACTGGTTGACTGGTTGACACTGCTGTTTTTGATGGTTGGGATGGTGGTCCGGATGGTCCTCGTTCTCCTGTGAAGACTTGTTCGCATGCTAGATCCAGTAAAAGAAGGTTCCGTCTACAAGCAGGAATGGATGTCGCAATTGATGTTCCTGGAGACTCAAATGTTAGCGCTAAGTGACCAGAATGCGACTTCTTTCTAGCTTGCCCACTTTATGATTATATCGACCTTTTCTGGTTCAAATACCCCAGGAAGGAACCAGTAGGTGGTTCAAACTCTGCCGGAACCGAGCGCAGCATCCTTGAAGTGCTTGTTGCAGCCTTTTCGATTCTGATTCACTCGATTCTCCTGCATAAAATCGCAACCCAAAAAAAATGAAACATGGAATACAGTAGTTAAAAAAACAACGGACTATTTCAAGAATGATGTCCAGGTTGATGTTTCCAACACCTCTGATGCATGTTGAGACGGTCATGTGTGCCAAATCCCGGGCAGAGCCATGGGGCACACGGGACTTACCCTCTGGTAATTTAACATAGCTACTGAACATGGCCATTTATAGTTGATTTACCCATTAAAAATGGTGACTTTCCATAGCTATGTTAGATTACCAGAGGGTATATACAGTACAGACTCCTTTCCGATAGGATCTGGAAAATGATTTTGAGCGGCATTGGTTGAAGATCAGTTCACCATTTTCAACCATTGATCATGAACAGAAAGGATCGTTTGAAAGGGATTATCCCATAGCAAGTTGCGGGTATTTAGTTCATACTCACAGCGGAGTTTGCCAGTTTGCCAGCTTGTCTGAACAATGTGTCTGAACGACTTTGCCTCTGGCCTGATCTTTCCAAAAAAATAGAATGCCAATGGATCGTACAATGTGAGGCCCCCCAGTTATAAGTTGGTTTAGATTCGCCCCAGTAACTATACTTATAAGTACCATAAACCATATATAGTTATTGGAGTTATAAACCAACTTAACGCTATCTTGGGGGCCTCACATTGTAAGAAGTGTTGAGGAAATCTGAAACCATCCAACTGTGTGGGTCTTCCACTTCTCAGACACACCCGATGGTTGTGGCGTTAGCCACATCCCAATCAAGATGAAAGTCAATTTGGATCAGGTTAAACATGGTTGAACATAGAACGAAATGAAAGCACCAACCAGCTTATTCTAAGTATATTCTGTGTATATGTATATATGTATATGTATATGTATATATGTATGTATATAAATATAGACATACGTATACATATATATATATATACATATATATATACATATATATATATATATATGCTTATATATATATATACGTATATATAAATATGTATATATATATATGATATATATATATATATATATCATATATATATATATGATATACATATTTATATGTATATATCATATATATATATATGATATATATATATGATATATATATATGATATATATATATATGTAAATATCATATATATATATATCATATATATACATATATATGATATATATATATATCATATATATATATATACATATATATGATATATGTATAAAATATATCGTCAATATCCATGTTTGGTTGGGAAATCCCAACCGTCCATTGTTACTTACATCAGCCGATTCGCCGTGAGATTCTGCGGAAGTCCTGCTCATTTTCTCCGATCACCTTGGCGTGATTGAAAGGTGAAAGACTGTGGTAAAACATGGTAAAAGCCTATCATTTGGGGATGATGTTTACAACTTTACCACTCTTTTTTCTGGAGGACATGGAATATATATATATATATATAGTTTACCACCCATTTCTGGAGGAAATTATATATATATATATATGGAATATATATATATATATATACGGAATCTTGGGGATAGTGAATTGATGTGAATTGATGTGAAGTGGCATTTACCACAGTCGTTTCAGACCCAGTTGGGCTTCAGGGTCAACCAGCAAGTGACACCAAGCAGCGTTGGCCATGACTCATGACAAGGGGGATACCCCACGACTTGGAACATAGTTTTAGTGGAGTTTTAGTGGAGTTTAAGATCTTTTTTCGCGACCTTTTGAAAACAAAAAAGATGTGTTTTTGTTGAGGTCTTCCCATACATTTTCAGTGTTGCGAAAGTTTTTGGGATATCCGATCTGAGGAAGGTGCCGCAGGCTCAAGCATCTCACCATCAAATTGATCCATGATGTGGTCCTGTGGAAAATGTCACTTCCAAGGGTGCCATGAGAGAGAAATGATTGAAGCTCTGGCCAGGTCCCAAAATAGGTCAATTTCTCACGTTTCGTTGAACAAATACCGATACCCATAGGATCCATGGTGCTATATATGGTGACATTTACCATCAATATACCCCCTTTATGTTAGCATATATACCATACATGGATCCTATGGGATACGCAGTGGAAGAACAGGAAAACCATGGAATTTCCGTCAAAACCAAACATTTCAGACTCGCGACTTGGATCCAGATTTCCATTGCATAAAAAGCGTGAGGAGTCGTTGTTTTTGGCGGCTTAACGATATGGATTCTCTTTCAGAACAAAGGAACATTGTAACATATGCTTGATGTATCTTGATGTTTAATTGCCATTAATTAAATGAATTTAAATTATATACCTACCTGAGAGTAAACATGGGTTTGTCTGAAAACAGGACCCAAAAAAACAAAAGAAATTGTTCAAAACCGGATCCCCAGAAAATCACCTGATGATTTCTTTCTTTGATGCGATGAAAAAAAAACTGCTCTTCCCGGTTCAATTCCCTTAAGTTTACGTGTGCCATGGTCAAGTTACCCATGGCACATCATGGGATTAATATGGAGGCCCTGGCCCAGGTCATCCTACATCAAAAAATTGCGGATGAAAAAAATGATGTCAATAGGAATTTCACGATCCTAAATTGCAGGTACCTACCATATATAAGGCCTATTTTTCAGGGCTAAATTTCAGGGGATATCCCCCCATATGGCCAAACATATGGTACTAACGTACCTCCATTTTAGGATCCTGG